AGTGAATCTGAAGCCAAACAAAAATCTTTTTCCCTACAGAACAGAGCTTGCTATTACTCTTGAAACAAACGTTTGAGTTTATAAATGAGAACAGGTATGTCCTACCTCTTCCTTCCTTCCTTCCCTCCCTCCCTCCCACAATCCGTCATTCAAACATATGCTTTTACAAAATGCAACATTAGGTGTGTACTGAAGTATTAAAAGTAGAGAAACTGTCTTGGGGAAATTACCATAAATGGGGGGAAGGAAGTGACATCTCTGGACAAGTGAAAACAGTCAAGATGGTGACCATGACTGCAACTGGAAACCAGCTCTTTTTTCCAAATGTTGTACATTTGTGCCACATAAAAAGCCCAGGGCTTTGATCCCTAACCCTAATTAGCCTGTTTTGACCCCTCCCACAGATACTCCTGGTTTTTCCCAAAAGAAGACTGAAAATACCAATGTTGGTTGCAAAAAAGGATAAAAATGGTCTGAATATTCCAGTTTCACCTTCACTCTTGGCAAGGTGATCTGGCTTCACAAAAAACAAATTGGAATGGGATGTAGTCATTAAGTGTCAGGGCAGAAGGCAGGGCTCGTTGGAGAATTAGGTCGATGCCTCCCCTCCTCATTTTTTACACCAGGGTGCGGTGTCCTCACATTAATCTCATTGCCTTTTCCCCTGGTGTGGGTGGGCAGGGAACTAAAACAAGGGTCATTAGATATTGTCTTACTTTGTAGGCATCATTATTTTTTCTATGTTTTCCGTAATAGTTCCATGAAAAAGTCTCAAGAAAGTTTAACGTCTCAAGAGGCTACAATGCTCACCATGAAGCCATGTCTGTGTTGACAACATATGGTCTTTGCTAAAGATAGAGCAAACCGCACTCACTGGAGAAAACAAATTAATTTCTTTGTATTTCTCAATCCACAGAAAGAATGAGAGTATATTGGGTGGCATTACTGTTATTGTTATTGTTGCCGCTACTATAGTTGCCAATATTATTCTTTCAAATGGTATGACTGCCCAAGTTTGGGAAATATAGAATATATGAGATGAATATAGAAAATCAATATAATTGCCAAGTTAAAACCAATCTAATAAACAAAGAAGACCCAGGCGTGTCCAGCTATTTCTTCTTTGTCTATGATTTCTTTGATTCGGACTTTCTGACTTGACCATGTAAGTGTAACTTTTATTCCATTTCTTTATTCATTTATTGTATTTATATAGCTGCCCATCTCACACAAAATGAATCTGGTCACAAGTCATTCAACTGTGATTGACAAATTGTGCCTTACGGCTTCATCTGGACTGTTGTTTTGGGTTTCTTCAAAAGACTGTGGGCAAGGAAACAATTGTGGATGAAACATGCTGAACTTAGATGTGCTATCCTTTTCATGTTCAGTCTCTAGCATGGCTGTTAAAATTATTTTGAGTTCATGTTTTCTTTCTCTTACCTGTAAACACTTTCCTGAACTGCGGAGGTTTTACAAGATCTCGCTTTACTTCCTGTCCTTTCTTCTATGTACTGACAAAAAAAAAAAAAAAAGTTTCCCTCAATCCTCTGAAGATTTTTCCACCAATTCAAAATCTTGTGTGAAAGGTGTGTGCAAGGAAATCTATCAGATCAATGTCTGAGGGGCATTTTTATCTTAATAGATATATAAATCAGGGCACAATTTCCTCCTTAAAGGAGCCCCATGGTTTCCCTGTTCAGGCTACACCCACCAACACAAAGTCTCTGCACTTTCCTGAATCCTCTCCTGACAATTCCCTCCATTCATTAGAAGGAGCAAATATGATTCTGTGGCTAAACGTGGTATCCTTCCTAGCAGTCCTAAGTGGTAATTCTTCCCTCTCTGTAGAATTTCCTCCCATTTTTTTGTACTAGTATGCAGAAAAACTCATTAAAACCCCTTTCTTTCTAGGTGTCCAAACTGAAGTCCAGTGGGTGGTGTCTGGAGGAGATGTGAGAAGACCTGGAGACTCCCTCTGTCTCTCCTGCCAAGCCTCTGGATTCACCTTCAGCAGCTATGACATGCACTGGGCGAGACAGTATTCAGGGAAAGGGCTGGAATGGGTAGCCTACATAGCTACAGGCTCATCTAGCAGTTACTACTCAGATAAAGTCAAGGGACGGTTCACCATCTCCAGGGATGATTCCCGCAGTCAGCTGTATCTGCAAATGAACAGCCTGAAGCCAGAGGACACGGCAGTCTATTACTGTACTACATATCCAGTGAGAGGAAGTGAATCTGAAGCCAAGCAAGAACTACCCGTTCGTCAGAGCAGCTCTTTAAACTGATTTAATCACAGAAAGTTGAATTTGTGTAATTGGAATGAGAAACAGCAGATAAATCTCCATCACAGCTGGTACCCCAGAGCTGATCATGGAATAAGCAGTGGGGATCCTGGTTAGCACTTAGCTGGGTATAAGAAGTAATACAGTCAGGACAGTAGAATATCCTAGAATTTTTTTAAGTTAAAACTTCATTAGAGGTGGAAATATCGATTCATTACCTAAAATATTTTATATATGATTATACAGTTCAGTCACCCTTCCTTCTCCTAAAATCACCAAGTCTCCTCTGCTTAATTCTTTTGTACACATTTCTAATTTCTCATTCCGTCAAAATTATTATACCTCATATTCAGTCCCCTTAGCCCTGAAGCTCTCTCCACTCAGCTGGGCAGTGTCAGGAGACCCAAATATTGGCAACTGCACAGGTGATCTCCCAGAAGCCCTCAGGGTCTGTGTATTTCAGACTCTCTTCCCACCTTGGTGTAGCTGCTTAGTAGTTCCTGCTGCCACCACCTATTCAACCAGGGCATGCCTTGATTTGGCATCTTCTTCACTAACTTCTGTGGGTGGGGCTGATTAGAAGCCCCCAGCCTATTTTCACAACAGGGAAATTAAAGGGAAAAATAATGATATTAATTCTACTGTCTCATATTGTAGACCTACAGTTTTTGGTACGTGGTGAACGAAAGTCAGCCCCATAACTTTCATGTTGCAATGCCAGATTTTTATTAATCCAAATGTAACCCTGATTTTCATTGTATCTAACAATCATGAAAAATTGCTGTCTTGACTCCTGTAAGTACTTGACCAAAATCTCAAAATTCTTTCAAAGAAATCTATAATGTAAATGAATAATTTTTTTACCCAAAAATATATGTAAATTAAGGGGTAATAGAAGATTGTCACTTACTTTACAAATATCTACTGCATTTCCATTTGGAGAAGGAAAATGATTGATTTATCTTTCTCAGCCCTCTGGGCATATCTTGGCTAGAAACAAATTTTTTTGATTCTGACTGTGTGACTTGAGGACATTCAGTCATTGTGCTATGCATATCATTCTCGATTGCTTAATCTATATCACATGAACTCTGGATTCATGAACTCACCATATTTATTGAAAAATATCTCATACTTTTTCTTTTGAAATAACCTAGGCCATCCCATTCTGTCTATAATGTAGCTATTAAGCAATTCGTGATGGGTGCGTGTCAATCTTACCGTCAAGATTTTGAAATGGTACATAAACAATTACTAGGTTTATTTCCTCTATTGACCTGATACTTATAAAGACTCGCCCATAGTCTGAAAACAGTTTCAAAGAAATCTGTCATGTGAATGGAGAGAGTGACTCTTTTATCCAAAGACATATGCAAATTAAGGGACAATCTTCTCTTCTCTTCTCTTCTCTTCTCTTCTCTTCTCTTCTCTTCTCTTCTCTTCTCTTCTCTTCTCTTCTCTTCTCTTCTCTTCTCTTCTCTTCTCTTCCTATTCAACTCTCTTATCTTATAATCTTATCTTCTTATCTATCTGTGGATAAGAAGATAAGTAAAATGTGGAAGGTTGATGCACTGAGTGGCACTTGAACTCTGAGGACATCATTTACAGATTCTGGTTTAACTGAGGCATAAAAAGTGTTCAAAAGCAGCCCAGTGTGTGTAGAGATGGAATTTATCATGGAAAAGTGGAATAAACTTTGAAGAAATAAAAGAAAAATGACAGAAACAGATAAAATTATGTTTTCCTTCAAGTGTTGTATGAATCAAAAGCATAATCATCCATTATAAATGATTGGTAGAAGATGGACAAGAGATAATAAGAATTATGATCTTATCAAAATGAATATAAAACTAGTATAGAGCAGATTTTGACAAACAATGTATACTTCTGCCTAGAGTAAAGCAAGGATGAGGGCAGCCCTGCTTCAATCTGTCTAGAACAGCCTCTTTTGGTTGGCGGTCTGCAGTGAGGGTCTGGCTCCCTTCCTCTCAGGAAAGCTTTCCCTTAGATGACCTGGATGGCCTTTCCCTTTCCAGCCCCCTTAGCAGATTTGAATGCAAGAATCTCCTGGGAAAATTAAGGAGACACCTCCCCTCCTCACTTTTTACACCAGGGGCTGTGTTGTCACCCTGAATCGCTTTCCCCATGTGTGAGTTGGGGTGGGGTAGAGGAATAAAGGAAGTGTCTACAGACATTGCCTCATTTTGGAGGCGTCATTGTATTTACCCTTATTTTCCTAAGAGTTCACTTAAAAGATCTCAAGAAAATTTCACATCTCCTGAAGCCACAGTCCTCATTGTGAAGCCGTGTCTGAGTTGACAAGAGATGTCCTAGCTAAATATTGAAGAAACTGAATTCTTTGGAGAATGAAGCGATTTATTTGTATTTTTCACTCACAGAGTGTGTGTATTTCTTGGCATTCATAGTATTAGTATTATTCTTACAATTTGTATGGCTGCCCTTCTTGCGGAATCAACTCTGGTCGGCTAACAACCAATAAACATCATACAAAATATTAACCAAAAAGAAACAACCTGTGTTTAAAATCCATACAACTCCTGAGTTAAAACCAATACAGTAAACAAAAAGGACTCCACAGGGCCCAGCAAAATATGGCCTTTGCTAAATATATATGCCTGTTTTCACTTGTTTTGGATTCCTTCAGGGGAATAATTGCAGAGCAAACATCCTGGACTCAGATGTGCCTTCCCTGTCACATTTTGTCTCTAACTTAGTTAATAAAATTATTCTCAGTACATGTTTTCTTCCTCTTACCTTTAAACACTTCCCTGAATTGCTGAGATTTTAACAGATCTTGCTTTATTTACTCAAAGGATAACTTGTCTTTTCTCCTGTATACTACAATTAAAAACAAAAAGGCTCCCTTGAGTGTTCTGAGGATTTTCCCATCAATTCAAAATCATGTGTGAAAGGTGTGTGCCAAGAAATCTGTAAGTCAATGCCCTGAGGGGCTCTTTTATCCCAGGCAATATGTAAATCAGGGCACCATTTCCTCTTTAAAGGAGCCCCATGGTTTCCCTTTTCAGGCTACACACACCAACACAAAGTTTGTGCACTTTCCTGAATCCTCCCTTGTCAATCTCCCTCCATCCATTAGAAGGAGTAAAATGATCCTGTGGCTAACCTTGGTGTCCTTATTAGTAGTCCTCAGAGGTAATTGTTTCTTCTCTGTACAATTCTTTCCTATTTTTTCATGTATGAAGGACAGCTCATTAAAACAACTTTTATTTTAGGGGTCCAATCTGAGATCCAGTTGGTGGAGTATGGGGGAGATGTGAAAAGGCCTGGAGAATCCGTCCACCTCTCCTGCCAAGCCTCTGGAGATGACTTCATCAACTATAGCATGAACTGGGTGAGACAATATCCAGGGAAAGGACTGGAATGGGTGGCAGGCATAGGTTCATCATCAACTCCAATTTACTACTCAGATAAAGCCAAGGGAAAGTTCACCATCTCCAGGGATGATTCCCGCAGCCAGCTGTATCTGCAAATTAGTAGCCTGAAATCAGAAGACACAGCAGTCTATTACTGTACTACATACACAGTGAGGGGAAGTGAATCTGAAGCCAAGCAAAAACCTTCAGTTCCTCTGAACAGCTCTCCAAGTTGATTCAGTCACAAAAAGTTGAATTTGTGTAATTTGAATGAGAAACAGAAGATAAATCCACATTACAGAAAGTGGGACTCTAGAAGTGATTTTGGAGAAGGCAGCAAGGAACCTGGTTAGTACTAGGTTGGGGGACAAGAAGGAATTATAATGGCAGTAGAATAAAATAGAAATCTTGTTGTGTATGTGTACTGTAATTCAAGTGTGGCTTACAAATTATGTCTCATGGCTTGGTCTGCATTACTGTTTTGGGTTTTCCCGAAAGAACATGGTCAAGGGAACAACTGTGGAGCAAACATTCTGAACTCAGATGTGCCATCCTTTTAATGTTCACTCTCTAACATGGCTATTTAAGGAATTTTCAGTGCATGATTTCTTTCTCTCACCTTAAAAAAGTTTTTATGTGTAACTGTTTTTATGTATTTATTTTTTAAATGTTGTACGCCACCCAGAGTCACCTTGTGTGAGATGGGCGGCACTATAAGTATGACAAATAAATAAATAAATAACTCCCTTCCTTGAAATGAGGAGCTTCTGTCAGACCTTGCTTTACTTACTCGAGGGTAAACCTGCCCTTTCTCCTATGTACTCACAATAAAACACATGACAGTTCTTAGGACTGGAACATCATTTGAAAATCAGGTGTGAAATGTAAGTGCGAAAAATCTGTAAGTCAATGCATTGAGGAAGCTCTTTTATCCCAACAGATATGTAAATTGGGCATAATTTCCCTTTAAAGGAGCCTCATGGTTTCCCTTTTCAGGCTACTCCCACCATTACAAAGTTGGTGCAACTTGCCAAATTCTCTGTTGTCAATTCCCTCCATTCATTTGAGGGAGCCAAAATGATCCTGTGACTAAACTTGGTGTCCTTACTAGCAATCCTCAGAGGTAATTCTTTCCTCCCAATACAGGTTCTTCCCATTTTCTGTTCTTCTTTATCTTGAGATCTCATAAAAAACAAACCAAAAAACCCTCTTTCTTTCTAGGTGTCCAATCTGAGGTCCAGTTGGTGGAGTCTGGAGGGGATGTGAGAAGA